ATCTCCTCCTATTCTCTTTCTTTCTCCTTTCCTTTCTCTCTTTCTCTCTCCCTCTCTCACTTCCACGCCCGATTTTGCACCTGATCTCCGCATAGCAACACACCAACTGCACGTCTAGACAGCAGCTGTTCGAACACTACGCATTCGTCCTTCTCTCTCTCTCTCTTTCTTCTTTTCTCTCTCGAACACTCCCACTACCAATCCCTCCCCTCCTCTCTCTTCTTCCTCTCCTTATCTATTCTCTCTGTCTCTCTTCTTTTTTTTTTCTTTTCTCTCCCTCTCACTATCTCTTGCTCCCTATTCTCTACCCTAATCTCTCTTCCTATTCTCTCCCAATCTCTTTCCTATCTCTCTCTCCCTCTCTCCCTTATTCATTTCCGCCAACCCATCAATCACGCAATCTTAGAACAAGACGTACAAACTCTGCCGCTTGGGAGACGCTGTAATACGTCGCCTTGTAAACGTTCCATCGACGCGTGGGAAACGTTTTCGGGCGAAGATGTCGGGAAGATTTGCGCATAAGAAGATTTCGCGTCCCGTCCTCTTTCCTCGCATTATGGGGAGTCCCCCCCCCCCTGCATACATACATAGATAAACATGAGAATGCCAATGCACCTCCATGTAAGTATGTATGAATATGTAGGTAAACAAACAAATAAGTAAATAAATAAATGAATATCAATCTTTTCATCTATCTATCTATCTACACGCACTCACTCTCACACTCTCACTCTCTCTCTCTCACACACACACACACACCAACACTTACTCAAGCATACATCTTCAGACCACGATAAAAGACAGTAGACCATTACAGAAACCTTGCAGAACCTTACATCTCCTTTCCCCTCGCGCGCTCCACCTACTTACTCCTTCGCCTCCTTCTCCTCCTCCTTCGCCTCCTCCTCCTCCTCCACCTCCTACTCCTTCAACTCCTCCTCCTTCGCCTTCGCCAAAGACCAAGCTAAGACGGTCTTAGGGAAGAACAACGCCGAAAATGTTAATCCATAGTATTAAGGCAATGTTGTGCCCAGAACTTTAAAACTGTTTATCTCCCGAAGTTCAGAGGGAAAGGAGGGGAAGGAGGAGGAGGAGGAGGAGGAACGGGGAAGGGGGGCGGGGAAGATAAAGAGGAGGAGGTGGTTAGCGGGAGGGGGAAGAAAGAAGAGAGGAAGAAGGAAGGAAGGAAGGGAGGATAGAGAGGATGAAGAGGGGGGGTGGGGGGAAGTGGGAGATTACGAACCCAAGTTTTGCGAAAGCTTAACTTGAATTTTAATCACAAGGAGTGCCTGCCTCCACGTACGCGAGTGAGCGGCGGCGGGACGACAAGGGAAGTGGGGGAGGGGTAGGGGAGGAGAGGAGGAGGGGGGGGGGTACTGGATGCGGAGATGGTAGTAAGAGCAGCAATAGCAATAGAACATAAATAAATTGAAGTTTCTTCGGGCGCGAAAAAAATAATAATAAATGAATAAATAAATAGAAATAAATAAAGATAAATTACATTATCGTTTGAACAATTAGGCAAAGCAAGAAAGAACATGTTTTCGGGCAATAATATCCAGTCCTATTCCACAGCAAGGTAATATACAATAATAATAATAACTATCAAAAATGTTCACTTTCGGAACTCACCATTCACAAATTCTCGAAGAAACCGACGGAAGACGTACCTGAAAAGACAAAAAAATATACGAATATTACCAACCTGAAATCAAAATGATGAAGAAAAGACAATAATTGTAAAATCAAACCCAATTGCGATTCCACTGCCATTCACAGAAAATATCTAAAGTAAAACATCTACATCAATAACATTTACTTTCGCTAATACTTTATCTCTTTATTCATTTATTTTTTTTAATTTACTCATTTTTCTATTTATTTTACAATACTTCCAACTGACTGCACTGGACTTGCCAAGAAAGACTTTTAAAAATTCCCAGCTCAGATAACTCATCAAACAAAACAATAAAAAAAATACACAAAAAAAAAAAGCTTTTCCAAATATTTTCGCAACATTGCATAAAGTGCCTATCTCGTCCGGCCCGAGAGAACCACAGCAGACAGCAATATAGTCCAATGCAAACAGTGTCCGTCCTTAGAACTCCACTGAATAAATATCAACATGTGTGTATGTTATTTGTTTGCGCGAATCTATTCGTTCGTTTCTCCCAGTCCTTTGTTTGTTTTGGGTTATAACTTCAAAAGCTCTAGAAGGGTTTTTTTTTTCTTCGCTCATATAAACAAAATTGAAAACTTGAAAAAAAAATCCCCACATACACCAACAGGAGAAATAATAATATCATCACTGCATCTCCAAATATTTAAAACCTCCCGCAGTAAAGTAGTACCATTAATCTACTTACAAAAATATTCACACAGGGTAATAAAACTACGGACATCTCCCCACTCTCCCAACTCCTACCCTCCCCCCTCCCCTCCCCACCCACTCCACCCTGCCCCGTAATTAAGGCCGGAAATTGCGTGTGGTTCCTGGGAT